CTCACCCCCCACTCACCTCCCCACTCACCTCCCCACTCACCACTACCCCTTATTCAGAGGAGACTGAGTGGTGTGTGAACCTATGGACTTTAACGACTCGATTGTTAAGTTGCTTTCAATTGTGAGGTAATAGTCTATGTATCTGGGAGGTCAAGAGTTCGTGTCAGAGGTCATGTATCTGAGAGGTCAAGAGGTCGTGTCAGAGGTCATGTATCTGAGAGGTCAAGGAGGGGTATCAGAGGTCAAGCAGTCGTGTCAGAGGTCATGTATCTGGGAGGTCAAGAGGTCGTGTCAGGTCATGTATCTGGAGGTCAAGGAGGGATCAGAGGTCAAGCGGTCGTGTCAAAGGTCATGTATCTGAGAGGTCAAGAGGAGAGGAGAGGATGGAAGAGGAGAGGAAAGGAGGTGGAAGAGGGGAAGGAGATGAGATGAGAAGGGAGGAGAGGGAGGAGGGAGGAGAGGAGGAGGGGAAGGGGGGAAGGGGAGGTAAATACATGGGACTTCTCCAGGGGGTATGGAAGGAGGGTGCATTATGTGTTCCAGGGGGGGAAGGGGGAAGGGAGGAAGAGGATTGAATAAGGGAGGGGAGACGAAGGAGGAGGAGGAGGGAAGGGGGAGAGGAGGAGGGTCGAGTTTTAGGAAGGTAGGAGTTGGTAAGGGTGGCAGAAGAGTGACGCTGGGTGGCAGGGTGGCAGAAGAGTGACGCTGGGTGGCAGGGTGGCAGAAGTGACGCTGGGTGGCAGGGTGGCAGAAGAGTGACGCTTGGTGAGGGGGTGGGCAGAAGAGTGACGCTGGGGGCAGGGTGGCAGAAGAGTGACGCTGGGTGGCAGGGGTGGCAGAAGAGTGACGCTGGCAGGGTGGCAGCTGACTGACGCTGGGTGGTAGGGTGGCAGAAGAGTGACGCTGGGTGGTAGGGTGGCAGAAGAGTGACGCTGGGTGGCAGGGTGTGCTGGGTGGCAGAAGGCAGGGTGGGTGGCAGAAGAAGAGTGACGCTGGGTGGCAGGGTGGCAGAAGAGTGACGCTGGGTGGCAGGGTGGCAGGGTTTATGTCAGTAATATTCCACCAGGATGATTCTCTTATCATGCAAATGTTCGCTTGGTATGTGGCTCACAGCTCCCCCCCTCCTGCTGTGTTGCTGTCCCCCTCCTGCTGTGTTGCTGTCCCCCTCCTGCTGTGTTGCTGTCCCCCTCCTGTGTTGCTGTCCCCCTCCTGCTGTGCTGTCCCCCTCCTGCTGTGTTGCTGTCCCCCTCCTGCTGTGTTGCTGTGCTGTCCTGTTCCTGCTGTCTGTCCCCTCCTGCTGTGCTGTGCTGTGTTGCTGTCCCCCTCCTGCTGTGTTGCTGTCCCCCTCCTGCTGTGTTGCTGTCCCCCTCCTGCTGTGTTGCTGTCCCCCTCCTGTGTTGCTGTCCCCCTCCTGCTGTGTTGCTGTCCCCTCCTGCTGTGTTGCTGTCGTCCTCCTGTGTGTTGCTGTCCCCCTCCTGCTGTGTTGCTGTCCCTGCTGTGTTGCTGTCCCCCTCCTGCTGTGTTGCTGTCCCCCTGCTACAGTACTTTCCTTGACGGCAGTGACTCTCCTCTCTCTGCAAAGTATTTAAATCGGTCTCCGTGTGGGTTTTAGTCAGTCAGTCAGTCAGTCAGTCAGTCAGTCATTTAGTTTGTTAGTTAGTCTCTCTGCCAGTCAGTTAGTTTATTTTGTAGTGAGTCAGTCAGTCACTCAGGTATCTAGTTAATGTGTCAGTTACTCAGTTAAACAGCCAGTCAGTTAAACAGTCAGTCAGTTAAACAGCCAGTCAATAGTCAAGTCAACCCAAGCAGTGAGGAGCTGACATACCCGGCATTGTTTCGCCAGGCAATGCATCGCCAGGCATAGTTTAGTTCACTCAGGCTCACCTGTATTGTCTCTAATGGAGCGACCTTCCACCCCCCTTCCCCCTCCTTCCTTCCTCCCCCCTCCCCCTCCTCCTTCCCTTCCCTCCTTCCTCCCTCCCTTGTTGGTTTTGGTGTCACGGCTCAAGGTCACTGACGTCATAGATTGAGGTCTCTTGATGTCAGGTTGAGTTCACTTAGGCCAGATGTCAAGGTCTTAAAATTGAAACTGGGGGGGGGGGGAGTGTCTGTGTGTGTGTGTGTGTGTGTGTAGATAGTGGTGTGTAGGTGTGGTAGTGGTGGTGTGGTAGTGGTGGTGTGTAGTAGTGGTGTGTGGTGGTGTAGATAGTGGTGGTGTAGGTGTGGTAGTGGTGTGTGGTAGTGGTGGTGGTGGTAGGCGTAAGCTGATGAGGTGGAAACGTGTCATGAATAAGCTGATGAAGGAAGGGAGAGAGGGAAGGAAGGAAGGTGAGTGGGAGGGAAAGTGAGTGGGAGGGAGACAGAGTGAGTGGGAAGGAGGACCGTAAAATTGGGTATGTGAAGGTGACCTCTGACCTAACCCAACCTAACCCAACCTAACCCAACCTAGAACCAACATAGTCTGGCAGATGAAAGGCCTCAACTCTTTTAATATTCCTTT